GTCTCCGAGCAAGAAGATAAAAGACAGGGGTTAGCGTTGTTGTATCCTAAAAAACCAGATAGAACTGGGACGAGTATTCTCGCACTATGCATGACTTCATTTGTTATCGCCTGTATTTACGTTTCGATGGTCTCTCTCTCTCTCTCTCTCTCTCTCTCTCTCTCTCTCTCTCTGTTTCCCGTACCTCACTCGCAAATGCCTCATGGAACCCCATTCCACTTGCTGCAAATATCCGCTCCGTATTTCATATTCATGCATATCCGGCGCGCGATTTATATGCAAATGATGATGGTGGCGATGGCGTGGTGGTACAGACTGGGACACTGCAACTGGATCAAGTTTTCCAGTATTTCGAGTGTGTCACACAAAGTTTTCGGAATTTCTCTCTCTCCATCTCGCCCTCTTTCTCTCTACTGTTGTGTCTCTCTAAACATAAAACGATAAACTAAAATGGTCGGCTACATCTTATTCACACGTATGCAAAATTCGGCATTCGCATGCTGTTGTATATTCCATCTATACATGCTGTAATGATCAGTTTGTCATCTTCTGGGAAAACGATGAACTTCAAATTGATGTATTTTTGTTTATTCACCAAATGCTCTATGGACAAATATTTTTCCATAACTTTTTTTCTCTCTCTTCCTCCCTCTCTCTTCCTCCCTCTCTCTATCTCTCTCTCTCCCTCTCTGTCTCTCGCACTCTCAATCTCTCTTCTGTAAAATGGTGAGCGAATTTACATTTCGACAAATCCAAGGTCCAACACTGAAAATGAAATTCTAAATCCGATGTGAATTTCTAACGATATGAAGTGAGTTGAGATTTTTGTCGTTCATCAAACGAAACATAACTATTTTGTTTGCTGGAATGTGTTTGTGTTCATTCATCAAACACATCCGTTGTCTGAATTAGAAATATTCCCCATTCACGCAGTGCAATGGAAAATGGGTAGATTTTTGTTGTTACGGGTGTAATTAAAAACAGATGAAAGTTGAAACATGAAATGAAATTCGTCTGCGTCAAACGTTTACTTATGCAGATCGCTTTTCGCTTTCTCATCGTTGCGTGCTATGCTATCGAAAATTTTTGGCACAGGGAAAAATGAAAATTAAATGAAATTAGAACGAACAATGTTTGGTTAAAGACAAAAAACCGTTCTCATTCTTCTGCGTCTCGGTTGCCGCATCTGCTTATCACGATGTACTTATGCTGCCGCTGTCGCTGCTGCTGCTACTGTTGTTGCACCCCATTTGCAATAAATCTAGCAAATTACTTGCGAGTTGAGCTGTATCACGGATCTAAAACCATTCGCATGACAAAGTACAAACTTGATGCCACGAACTTTACCATTCAAACAATTTGCAATTAATGCACCAATTTTCAAACAAACGAGAAACGAATATTCATGCACATACACATGCACACACAACTCGATGGTTTCGGTGAACGCCATCCTCGCACACAATGTCATTTGTCACATGAAATTGTAACAAAGAATCACATCGTGCTGTTCTCTTTTTTTTCGTTTTCTGGTTGATTTGCAAGGGGTTTTTTGTACACACAATTCACGGCACGGCCAAAGCGGATAGTTAACCATAATATGCAGAGTAATATGGAAAATGGTACATTGTTGATCCAGCATTGTTGATAGTAAATACCATTTAATTACAGTATTGTGCAAACCATGAAAATGTCACATTACATTTTTGACATTACATTTCCCAACGAACTATACAATTCGTCGAAACATTCCTCAAATTGACAGCACAGAAATACATTACAACAATTTTTTTCGATTTTAATGAAGTTTAGCGCGAATAATTTTAATCGAATTTGATGAAATTAGTGTAATTTGGCTGCAGTTTTGCAGTGCCATAAAATTGCAATTAAGATTTGAATCGGCAAAAAAAAACGACCACGCAATGTAATTAATTGATGTTCATTTGCGAGTGGGTATTGTTTGAATGCATAAGCTCCGACTTTTCGTAGTCGAAAAAAAACGAAGAATTTCATGACATCTCGAACTCTAATGTTTTAAGCAAAAGTTAAACTGTGATACGAATCTATGAAATTTATATGCTGTTTTTGTATCATTTACTTTGTTCGGTGGTTATCAAAATAGTCGGATCGACAATACAACGATTCGAAAGTACTTAAAACAAAAAAAAACAAAAATGTCCATTCGAAAAGCTTCAGCGAAAAACGAAACAAAAAACGTATTTTTTTTCGATTCGACGCAAAAACGAATTCAATGTACTTCGACGAAACGAACAAAAAAAAAAACGTACAAACCAACTCTCTTGTCGATGCAAATCAACGTATCGAATATCGTTTGGCTGATCGACTTGAAAGCGATGCCACCAAAGTAAAATCGATATTATTGTTTAGCTGGAAATTTATGGGCAATTATTTGGCGGGTTAACCGATGTTTTCGCTTACCATCTTATCTATTTTCGATACATGTGCATTTTATTCGATCTCATAATACTCGCTGAGTGCGAGTTGGAGTGCTGTGTGCTTTTTGCACTTTGTGTTAATGGAATTCATAAATTATTATAAAAATCATGAACACTGACGATAGTCGCAATGAATGAGAAAGAAAAAAACAAAAACTGTATCAAGACGCTTGGTAAACTTAAAAACGCATAGGATCAAAGCGAATAACAATACGGCTGCTTTTTTGCTGCACACGAAGCGAATCCCCGGTTTTAATCGAAATGAGTCCAACCGGGTTCATTCGAAGAGCGAGAGAGAGAGCATGGACAATGGTTGAAAATGGCCGAGCACGAAAAACACGCACAAAATTGTAAAAAACGCTCGGAATGTATTTGAAAATTTATGGTAATTGGTTTTTATGTCTCGAGCACTTGCACCATGAGCAAAAGACCCCAAACAAATGCGACTGCTACAAACTATACAGTTTGCAAATAGGAAATTGGAACACACGTTGCCTCTATCAACATCATGTATTGATGCTGAGTTTTTTTTTTTTTTTTAATTCAGTAGTCTTTTTCTCTGCTCCAAACTTTGTGCGAATGAACGCTTTTTTCTCTCTCGTTTCAACGTAAACTTTTTCCATGTGAACGTAATTTCGATTTAGAATGTCGATCGATGCACGTTGAATGAGAAACAAGTGCCAATTTGTTTCGAGGGATGATTTTCAATTGGATTTTTTTACTGAGCGTGTTTTTTGGTCATTCTCTTCTGAAATACACTTGCTCGTAATTTTGTCTTTAATTGTCTCGTTGTCATCATCATCATCACAATGAACAATTTGTAACACAACAGATGTGTTCACCCTGGGGCTAGGTGTGTATGTGAGTTGAACGTAGAAAGAAAAACGAATGAAAACAAAATCACTACAAAATATAACGGACAACATGCAAACAATGAACCATCCGATTGTTTGTTATTGATTGATTTCCACATTTTCAAAACATGGCCAACTACACGTTTGATAAATATTTTCTCACTTGTTTTCTTTGTCGTCGCCGTCGCCGAGAGCCGCTTGAATCCATGGAGATAATGTGATTGAATAACTGTTTCGTTGTCGATACAATCGAAGGCATTCTTTCAATATGTTTTTTATCCGCTGCTTTACACACCATTTTACACTATATGGTCATCGGACGAAAGAGAGTTCCGTGTGTGTGTGTGTGTGTCGTTTGTTTTGTTCGAACATACACGTCGCGCGGCTTTGTCTATGGCAAATGCATAACATAAATTCAAGCATCTTTTGTTCATGTAAATAACATCGATTGTACACGAAACGTGTACATGAACACAATAGACGCAACAAGAGAACCAAAAAAAAAGCGCAACGCTCATCTCATGTGAGATTGTTGTAATATTTATGATGTTCAAAAGTCAATATGGTTCGATGTAATGGCACGATTGAAACACACCATATTGGCGAAGTGACGCTTCAAATGGAGCGAAATAGAAGCGGATGAATAGGGACAGAGGATGAGAGACGAATAGAGGAAAAGAAAAAAAAGAGAGCGAAAAGCTATGGCAAAACAAAGGTTTTTAGATGAATTCATCTGCGGCATTTGTAGAGCACAAACCATTTTGTAAATAGAGTCACGTTTAAACAAGACAACTCATCATATTCCACACGAAAACAAAAAAGAAAAAGCCATAATGTGCGATGTCATTTTTGCTAAAACACATTGATTGACATTTCATGAAAAATATGTACAAGTGCGTTCGAAATGTAGAATTTGTGTAGTGATCATGCTCTATCTATCTCAAAGGTTTTCAATTGGAATGCGATGGATGCTGGTTCAAATGGATGGTCGATAGAAAGATTGATAAACGCGCATGAATGAACTAGCTAGCAGTTATTTGGGTTGTAACCGCAGTAAGCGAGCCAAATATGATTGTTGAATGACTACGTATTTCAAATTCGAGCCCGTTACGATATCCATCCGTTGACCATATTTGATACACGACGCATGGAAAAATTATTCATATTTCTACCGTTCAAATCGAAGAGAGCCATTGCAATGCTAAATGACCATATTCGAACTCATGAACGTGTACAAATTGAATGACAGCTGGCCGTTACAAAGCCATTTCGTATTGACTCTCTTCTTTTTTCGAATGTTTGATCTACATTTTTTTTGTGTGCGAATGTACGATTTCATCACGTTCACCTCTTTAACTGTACTCTTGGAATGATTGTGCTATTCGATGACTGAATTTCTCTTGAAATGGAATTTTTAATAGAGGGATTTTGGGATTTTTGAAAAGAGCAAACTCAATAGCATTGCTATTATGTCATTGTGTCAATACAAATCTAGTGTAAGCACAATCTAAATTATCCTATTCGAAATGTAGCTAAGAAACAATCGGAATCTGAACTGAATATCCGAATTTGTAAGCACAAAGGATGTTTTTATTGAAAAATTCTCTGAATATCAAAAATCTTCTAATCAGACAAAAAATAAAATCGTATCCACTAATCAACTTTTTTTTTCATTCCATGTTCTCTCTAGGTGATGTGCTGTCGGGCGTATGTTTTGTCGGTCAACTGGATTCGTATTCGTTGGGTGTATTTCTGCTGTTGCCGCTGTGCATTTATTTGGTTTTGGGTGCAATATTTCTGATGGCTGGTTTCACATCGTTGTTCCACATTCGCACCGTAATGAAAGGTGATGGCAAACGCACCGATAAACTAGAACGCCTAATGATTCGCATCGGTTTCTTCAGCGGCCTATTCATATTGCCAGCGATTGGATTTCTCGGCTGCTTATTCTACGAATACTACAATTTTGATGCATGGATGCTGCAATGGAATCAGGATATGTGTATCATATTTTCAATACCGTGCCCGTTCAACAGTCGATATCAGGAGCACGAAGCGCGACCAATGTTCGTTGTATTTATGATAAAATACGTGTGCTCAATGCTGGTCGGAGTGACATCGTCCGTGTGGCTGTACTCGGGCAAAACGGTGGTCAGTTGGCGACGATTTATTGAACGTATACAAGGCACCGGCAATACCAACATGAATGGCGGTGGCGTTGGTGGTGGTGGTGGTGGTATGGGCAACGGTGGCGCCCTTGGCAATGGTATGGTCACACTTGGCACTGCTGGAAATGGCACAACAGCTGGCAATTCAAAGTCGGGCACTGCCAATTTGGTGCGAACACGTGGACAAGCCTATGTCTAGCATGACGACAGTGCCGATTCCGAGGCACACATCAATATTCTACTTAGATTGAAATTGAACGTAGAGAATTTCAAACGCAAACCAAATATTTATATTGTTTTACATAATAAAGAACAAATTAACGACGCAAACGATGGTTGAACACTTTACTCGATGAAGAGATCTTAAACATGGATACAGTTCCAATGACAAGAGATTTGGAGAGAAAAAAAAAACAAAAAAAAAACAAATGGAGAAAAATGGAAAAATAATGATAAATTGCTGTTGAAAAATCCGTAGATGGCTTTAAGGATCGCTTTTCCCTGATGTGTACTCACATTTTGTCGATTTTGTGAACGCTTTAGTAATGATGAACTCTTTGAAGCATGATGAACATTTTCATTTAGCATCATTCGAAATTATGCACGCAAATCTACCAATTTTAACAAGAAAGTTAACATTTCCGTTTACAATTGAGCAATTTCGGTCTTTTTTTCTTCTTGTGTATAAAAAAAAACAAAACGTTCGAAGTTAATGCGTTGATACTTCACTTTTTTATATTGACACTTTTATTACCGACTATTTTGGACGCTGCCTTGCATTGTGTATATATGTCAAAAATGAGAATGTTTTATTGATTCCAAAAAATACGCACATACATACTGAACATGTCCAATTGATTAATTTAAGCAGAATCTCAGTTCACAACGTCGGATATCCTAATGGAAAACTTAAAAAAGAAATAAATTCATTGATAAATAGATTGGAAAATAAACTGATAAATCCGAGAGATATTGTAATGTAAGCCATGTGTAAGAACAATTTACCTTAAAGAAAATAGCATTTGATAACCACATTGCTTATGACAGTTTCTTCCCCGTCAGCAAAAGACAATTTAGTACTTGAAGAGGAAAAAGAATCAATTCCATTCACACAAAACAACCAAAAATACTACGAATTTCACATGATGTTCATCGTCTGTAAATGTAATAAAAAAGAGAGATAAAAAACAGCCAAAACAACAATTTTACTGCAACTATTTCTAGGTGTTAGATAAGCCCATTTTTACTCATATTTCAATGTATAATAAATATGGCTTTGCATTTTTCCAACATTATTGCATTACATAGATACTACTCAACCGAGCGTATTTATTTATCTATACATCCAACGAACAAAGGGGTGTAAAATGAAATTATCTCAATAAAACGAATATTCAATAACAAAGTATATATCGGTGAATTAAACAAAAAAAAATTCAAACATTTGATTAGTTTTCCGCGAAATTCATTGAAATATTTGCACTTCATTCATTGACATAATTAAATTCACCCATTAAAGAAAAATTATCATTCATTTTCATTTCTGTTCATCGGTAACATTCATCCAATCAATATTTATAGAATTTTTCTCCGGAATTTTGAGATTTTTTTTTCTTTTAGTTTTTACCACAAAATCCTATGTATTCAAAAAAAAGTTTATTTATTTAGTAAATTTTTACGTTTATTGATGAATGAAATTCAATTGAATTCAGGAGTAAAAACTATACCGAATGCAAATCGAATAATTTTATCCAAATTAGTGATGATCCAAAAAAGGCAACATCATCATTAGTTTTGTTTAAATCGGTTTTCGTTGGCGGTCAAATATCGTCGAATTTGAACTCTATAATCCATAATCACAAGCTCAAACGTAACTCCATAAATATTTTCCATAAAAACATCAGCTCATTCAAAACGAAAATACACTGCTTTCATGACAAAATGTATGGGTAAATAGACAATCACACCATAAATTATCTCAAATTATATCGGAATATGAACTAAAAATGGTCAAACACAATTTTAACACAAATCAATTCACGTTGGTTTCACTTACAAACACACAAAACAAGAACGTAATTGTTGTAACAAATTTTAGTCGTAAATAAAAACTAAATCCCGTTCGAGGCGAGACAAATTATAATGTTGTATATTTGCTCACAAGTGTTTAGCTTGCAGCCATATGACACGAGAATGCATAAACAAAATAAAACATAAATGGAAACGCATTTAGATACAAAACAAATTAACGCACTAATTTCTTTTTGTTGCTCAATACATAGACACACATATATATATACATATACATATTTAGGATATATTATTATTATTATTGAAAGGCTATTTTAAATTTTAGTAGCGATTACGGCTACTTGCGCTCCGACTGCTTTATGCAACTTTGTTTTATTTCTCATGGAAGCGCCAGCGCATTTTTTCTTTACTTTAGACTATAAATAGACTCAATTATTGTTGGTTTTCTCTAATTTAAATCGCGATTTCTGTCATGTAGTCGATAAGTGTATTTCATTGACATGAAATCGTCGAACACATACGAGACAAACAAACAAACAAAAAACATTGCTCATAAATTCTATTAATGTCGAAAAACTGCGATGTCGCTCTCATTTTATTTGAAATAAGACTGTAAATAAAGAATTTAAAATTATAAAAAAGAAAAATGCATTTTTTTTCTCTTTTCTTTCCCTTTGAGTTTTCCTCGAAGATTTATTATGATAAAAAAAATTTGTATAATGATGCGGAATACAAAAATTATATTTAAATTCCTCGTTGGACAATTCAGTGTTCCTGGAACCCTCAGTTTCTACTTCTTCCTCACTTTGATTTACAACGATTAAAACAAATCAGCCAACACAACAGCAGAAAATTTATAGCACAAACGATTGAATCGTATGTAATGAAACGTCAACAAAATCCAGTTGATTTCCTCCTTTCAGCAAATCATCATCTTTTATTCAACTCAATCGTTCATATTGGACTTTTTCCTGTAATTTTCGATCCAGCACCGGAGCTGCATTGATTAATTCGACAACGACTGGTTGATCTGTGTCACATTGAATTTTCATGAACATATACATATCGTCTAACTTTTCGCTTAACCGTTCTAAGATTGCGCCAATTTCTTCTTGCACTTGTGGTCGTTCGTCTCGCAATGCAAAAAGTTGATGTAATTCACGGCCACTCACACCGGCCAATTTATCCATTACATCTGAGCTAAATGCCACTTTTAACGTTTCATTTTGTGACAATGGATCGGTAATTAGAGCACTCAATTTCCATTGATGGTTTTTTCCCACTCGAGCAGTTTGAAAGACTTCATGAATCGATGCTTTCACTATGAAGTACTTTCTTCGTTTACGATTCTCCGCCGAACATTCATTCAATTGTTTGACGGTGACCAAGTTCAAACCGCGAATTTTGAATCGATAATTTTCCGCATCAATCATCGGATCGTCCGAAATGTTGAGCAGTTCGGATTCGGTTATCAGCTCGGCGGATGCTGATGGTGTGTCAAAATTGTGTGACGGTGTTGGAGGGTTTTGAGGTGCTGCATTTGCTTGTTCAATCGTTGAGTCAATGTTCAAGAAATCGTTGTCGTCCATATCATCAAATAGAAGCGTATTTCTTCGCATCGGTGGTATTGTGTTATCTGGATTTTGTCGAGCTGTCGACGTTTCAGCAGGAGCTGCCACTGCTCGTGATGCAATTTGATCAATATCGATATCGTTCAGAAAATCATCATCCGGAAAATCATCCAACGTGTTCAAATTTCCAGCTGAAGAAATCACATTCGATTGAATGGCCGAACTGGCCGCTGTCATTGGTATTGAGGGCATATTGTTCAGTCGATTTGATTGTGTGTCGGTGGTCACTGGTGCTTCTGTTTGGTGAGAAAGGTTTGTATGAGGTGATTAGAAGGTTTGTATTGATTTGAAAATGACCAAAGTCAATTAATTTGTTGTTGTTGTTGTTTGACCAAAGCGTCAAAACCAACTGTCAAACTTGGTCTCGAAACGCTCAACGTCACAACTACCGTGAAAATATCTCAAATATCGTTTCAATTCTGCGACGACATTACCTTGATATTCGGTGTTTGGATTCGGATTGATTGGCTGATTCAGCGATTTCCGTAGAATATTTTCATATGCATTTTCGACAGCCATCGTGGTTACTTCACCACCTAAAATGCGAATATTCTTCACTTCCAAAAACAGAATGTGATTCACACAGCGCAGCGGACCGGTCACAATAAGCTTGAGGCCAGGCGTCAACTGTGTTGTCAGCGACGGTATCGGTTTGTATTCGACGGCGGAAACGGTTCGAAATCCATCAGTCAGCTCCAATTTTAACATTCGCTTCCTAAAATACCCAACAAAAGTGGCCAAAAGCAATGAACATTTATTACTTCCAAAGTCACACAGCGTATTTTAGTGATCAAATAGAATGATTATCCTTACTTTTTTGATTTCTCATTTTTCTGCTTGAATTCGGGTTGTTCTTTGGCCACTTCGGTTTCTTTGTTTTGTAATCGCTGCAGTTGATCGTACGGTGACTCGCTGATATCCAGTAAAAACTGCAATTGCAGTGCAAATGTGCCGTTGATGATTTGAATTTCTTTCTTGTCAAAAATGGAATTGGGTAAACATTTGATGCCACTATCACATAAATCGGATAATTCCCATTGTTCTTGTGCCTGTTGAAATAATTGACACGGCGATATCGACGGATTTTCATCGATAAAAAATTCAACGCAACTGAAAACATTGAACGGAAAAATTAATGCACATTCAAAATATACGACAGAAATGTTCAAAACTAGAATAAACACTGTGGTGTTTATCAAAATATTGTTTATTTAGTGTACGAAAATCAATGTGCTCATTTAAAAACAAATGTCTCTTACCCGCTCAACCAATCCGAATCAAGACGAATGCCTTTCTGCTCAAATTGCTGACGAACTTGCCGAAGTTTCTCGTCCACAGCCATAATATCAACAAATAACTCCTTTAGAAGCGATCTAATTTTTGATTTTGTTTACGTTTTACCGCAATCATCGCGCGATTTCTACTGTCATTTGCGTGTGGTTTGACGTTTACCGGATGAGTACCAAGATGTACGTACAAATGGTGACATCTGTTGAGCAGCTTTCGAAATTTGGTGCACTTAATCCATAGAACATAACTTGAAATAGTCATTTAACAGGTTTCACGTACATTACCGTCAAAATGAGTATTTATCAAAAATTCAAATGAATCACAAATTATTCATGGTTGCAATTAGGAAAATGAAATATCCATTTGTGTGGCAGAAACGAGCAAACAAAAAAACTTATTTCGGAAATAGGGGAATCAAATGATGCTGTTGTTGTTAGTGCAGTGTATTTTGTGTCAACGTTTTTGAATTGGAGCAATTTCAATGCATTTTCAATATATATTCCAAATATGATCGTATGCTTTGAAATTGATGCGTGCATACGCGATGCGCAATCAATTAAACATTAGTTTAGAATTAATTTTCGAGTATGATATATCATAAACAAAACTATGAATTACAAACATTGAAAAGGAATTATTTATCAGGAATTAATTGGAAACGATTCAAAGTTTATGTTATGAAATGGGATTTTCTTTTTCTATTTATTGGATCTGATCCGTGCATGTTGGGGTTTAATTGAGAATTAAACGGATTTGATTTGAATATTTTTGAATTTTGAAATGATTTGTAGCTATCTGCTAGCGTTTGAATTTTGAACTAAACTTTAATTATTTTCTCAACGGAAAATGAAAGCATTGTAATTGATTAAATACAAAACCTCCTTTAAAATTTACAAATCGCCAATAAAAATGACAAAACGGCAATAAAATTGACAAAAAAATTCTACAAAATTGACAACAAATCGAAATAAATGTAACAAAACAAACAATAAAATTAACATTACGTTCAATGAAATTGCCAGATTGAGAAAAT